ACCTCTAACCAATGATATCACCATTCTCTTCCTGCCATCCATCCTTAGGGGTTCCCAGATGCCCCTACCCTTGCCCTAGACATGTTGTGAGTCTTCATCCTGGTGCTATTTCTTCTCGGCTGCCTCTGTACACTATGTCCAGAACAGGGTAGACGAGGCAGGGTGAGAACTGAAAGGGAACAAACAGCTTATCAGCAATCAAGAGGCAGAGCACTGGGGCCACGTTGCCCTGCGCTGGCGCACTGCTTCACGGAATTGCTATCTTCTGCTTGAAAAGGGGGGTCCTCATGTAGAGCAGAGGCAGGTGTTGACCTCACAACTCTCCTGTCTCAGCCTCCAGAGGCCTGGCATTAAGGTGTGCCCCACACCTGGCTGTTCTTATGTAATGGTAATGCCAGGGGCCACAATCTTTTACATGCTGTGAGAAGATTCAGTGGGAGTCTTCAATAGAGTCCCTATCCACAAAAGCATTCAGGGCTGCATTGGGCCTCAGTGCTAGGGCATTTGCCTGGAGTGCACAAGGCCTTGTTCAGCCCCCAGCACTACCAGGAAGGGAGAGCAGGAGAAACAAGTGGGGGAAGGCAGATGTTCGTTTTGCCATTTTGATCTAGTGAGAGCCTTTTGTGGGTCTTTGTTCGTCTTGTTTATAAAGTCATGTTCTTCTTTGAAAAAGAAATATTTAAATTTTCATTTTGCAACAGGTTTTCATAAAGATAACTAAATTGATGTTATATATGTACTGGCCATTTGTGTCACTGCTCTGACAAAAGCAGCTTGAGAAAGAAGGGATTATTTTGATTCACAGTTCCAGGGTCATGGCGAGGAAGGAACAGCAGCAGTTGATTTAAGCAGCTGGTTACCCTGTATTCACAGCCACACAGCAGAAAGACGCGGATGCTTGCACTTAGTTCACGGTCTCATTTTCAGGACTGAGCCCAGCACCTTGTGCGAGCTGAATGCTCACTCCACCATGAGCAGCATCCCTCACCCTCACCATTGAAACAGGGTTTTAATGGCATCTCTCTGTCTTCCTGGGGCCACGAATCACCTTTTCTATGCCCACGTTTAGCTATTCCTTCAGCTATGGCTGGAAGCTTCCTTCAAACCTTACTCTCCCAGTGTCTGTTATTCTCTAGGCCTGGGCAGGAAAGGACTCAAAGATAGTCTTTTTTTATAGAGGACAGAAATGAAGTATCTAGGCTAAGCTGCAAAGCAAGTTGATGTCAGAATCAGCTTTAGGCACCTGGCCCCCTCAGCATGGGGGTGTAGGTGGTATTTACCTCTGAGAGCAAGGTCGGCCATGGAAGGACTCGATTGGGTTCCTGGTGACCTAGAATTGTTAGTCAGTCTTTAAACTCACCTTTTCTCATCTAAAAAAGAGGGGAAGGATACAGTGCTGAAAGATGCTTAAAAAGAGTTATTTTGAAGAGTCTGAGGACTGTAAGAATCATTTACCCAGATGAAGAGCTTGTCGAGCTCAATGCCTGGTACAAACGCCCTGAATAAATGACTGTTGTTGCTGCTATTTCCAGAACCGGGGTAGTGATTGCTCCTTCTGAGCCTGCTTCTGTATTCCTGGTGGTCTACAGAGAGGCGGCATCCCACAGTCTGTGAACGGTCTGCAACTCACAGTGTGTGCAGGCCTGTAGAGGAGTGGCTGGAGAATCTGGCAGAACAAGTTTTTAGTAGGTTCTTGGATTTTTTTTTCAAAGCAGTGGAAAAATAAATCAAAGGTGAAAACACAAACCTGGAAAAAGACTGTATTCCATTGTTCTTTACTGGGTAAAAGACCCTTCAAACGCAGATCACGCTGAAATAAAACACAAGCAACATGGTTGAGTCTGGTCCTAGCCTAGGACAGACAGTGGACACCATGGGTTTCTGCTGAATGTGTGGTTGGCTGTCATTTTTCCGTAAGCAAAGGAGACAGAGAGCAGAGAAGGAGCAGGGGAAGCCCAGCCCTTGGCTGCAAACTGCTCATCACTGATTGGACATGGGGAGAGATGGGGTTAGATGGCTTGGTTAGTAACAGAAGCCTCATTCACACTAACTTGAGCAGACAGGAAATTACTCTAAAGATGCCACAGTGTATCAGAGAATGCAGAGAGATGCAGGGATCCCTCCACTCTGCTGCTGCTTCTCCCTGAAGCTTGCATCTGCTGTTCCTTTGCAACAGCTTCCAAGTTCAGTAAATCACTATGCAGCCAGCCTAGTGGCTCTGGTCTCACTTTCCACAAGTCTACAATTTTAGTGGAGGATTGACTAGCCCATCACGGGTCAGGTTGCTTTCTTGTTAGAGTCAGCCACTGTGAAAGATACACGCTTGTTCCAACGGCCCTTCACCTTCATCATAGCCATGTGCTACCTGTGAGAGGGTAAGCCAGGCAACAGACAGGGATGGCTGAACCAGGTTTTGATGAGCACAGTGGCAAGAAACACAGTTCACATTTGGTCCTGCACAGCATTCTGGCCATTCCCAATTCTGCCCCTTTTTACCTGAGTTCTAAGGTGGCCCTCTGCTCACTGCCACTGGCCATCTTCCCGTCAGATGAACCTTGGATCTAGACTGACTGACTGAAACATAACAGAATGGAAATGGTTTGTTCTAGACCCAAACAGACCTACAACTCAGTAGTTGTGTGAGTTTATCCCTAGGAGACTTAGTTTTCTTATCTTTAAAATGTGTACCTAGTGTATATCTAATAAGCTGTTAGGCAGATGCAGGATATCATGTTTAAAATCCATGACATATAAGGTATGCACAATTATATGAATTTATTTTGCTTAATTCAGAGATCTTCAAAAGGGAGAAGGGGTAGCTATACATAAGAAGGAATAGAGAGAACTGATGCTTACTACTTTGAAAAACATTTCAACCTCAGCCACTTTGCAATTATCCTCAGCAGACATTAAATAATTTAAGTCTGTGGGCAGAGCCATGGAGGCCACACTGTGGTGGATACAGGTCTTGCTTTAGAGAAGAGCCAGTTATTGGTTCAGGGAACCAATGATGACTGCTCTATCCCTTTAAAACATTTGTTGGTAGGGCTGCATGGTCCTTCAGCCTTGCTCCATGGATGCAAGATTCCCAAAGCTCAGTCTGTTCACTGCGTAAGTGAATGTCGCACTTTGGCATTGTGCTCTTCACAGACGTATTGCTAAGGAGAGATGTTCAAAACACAGTAAGCCATGGACTTTTCTCATAAACCATAGTTTATGGAGTTGCTGCTGTGAACATGATGCCAGTATTTTAAATGAGTTATCTGGTTCATTCCCATGAGAATTTTTCCAGTTTGGGAAACTGAGTCTCGGACAAGTGAGTTGCCTGGATACAGCATTGGAATATAAGCTTGGCTCAGTCTGGTCCCAGCACCTTTTCTCAAAACACATGTGCAGTACCATTTCTCAACAACTTGGTTGTGCTACAATATCTAATGGCTATAGTTGGTCTGAATGAGGAAGCTGCCCCACATAAGCTCATGTGTTTGAGTGCTTGGCCCCTAGTTAGTGGAACTGTTTGGGCAGGAGTAGAAGGTGTGGCCTTGTTGGAGGAGATATGTTATTAGGAGTGGTCTTTGAAGTTTCAAAGCGTCATTTTCTTCCACCTGCTGCCTGAAGAATGCAAAATTCTCAGCCACTGCTCCAGCATCATGATGATAAATGGACTAACCCTATGAAACTATAAGCAAGCCCCCAAATAAATGCTTTCTTTTATAAGAGTTGCCATGGCCATGGTATCTCTTCACAGCTGTAGAGCATTAACTTAAACAGCAGCAGGGGGGAAAAAAGGAAAGAAAGAAAGGTCTTTCAGTGTCTAGATAGCATTGTCCCTTCCAGCATGAAGGAACCAAGGGTAGTAAGCATCCAGACATTCTAGATCTTAAGTGAGGAAGAGGGATGGGATCTGGTAACAATCAAGATGTGACAAAAGGCAATAACATCCAGACAATAACATCTCTTGTCATCTAGCGCATCACAGGCCCAAATGCAACGTGTTGGGATTATAGAATTAAAAATTAATGAATGGTAGACAGTAGGTCTCCTTGGATCTGAGAGCTGTCCTAACTTATTTAAAGGATGCTAAAAAGGGTAAGGTTGAACCTGGAAAGGAATATAAAAAGAAGCTACAAATTCTGTACTTCCCTACACTCACTGGTACTTCCCAACTTGGTCAGAGCGTGAACACTTTGAGTATGTTCCTGCCTAGCACTGTGTGAGCATGTAGGCTAGATAATTTTCCTTATTCCAGTAAAAGAAAGAAAGCATGCCTAGGCACTGTGAATAACTCCTTACATGTTAGAAGAATCCTTCCCCTATTAACCTGTGTATCAGTCATGGAGATTATTGTGCCTCTATACTAATTTCATTTTCTTCTGTGTATTCCATTGCATTCCAGACCAGGTCTCACTGGGTGGGGGGGCAGATGTTTAAATTTGATGTTGTAGGCAGAGGCTGTAAGTTGGGTGGTAGAGTGTTTGCATGGTACACCTCTGGGTTTGACCCCCAGCAACACATAAACCAGGTGTGGTGAGAGATACTACTAAGAAGGTCAAAGTAGGAATATCACAAGTTCAAGGGTACCCTCGGCTACATAAAATTTGAGACCAACCTGGAATAAATAAGATCCTGCCTCCAGAAAACAAAATAAAGTTTTTAAATCATAGGTTTAAAAATTGAGCATAGAAGGCAGAAAGGTGGCTCAGGGTTTAAGAACAGTGGTTATTTTCCTAGGGGACCTGGGTCCAATTCCCAGCACCAACATGGTGACTCACAACCAGCATTGACTCCACTTCCTGTGGATCTGGTGCCCTCTTCTGGCCTCCTTACATATAAGGCATTCAGGTGGTACCCAGATATGCCTTCAGGAAAAACACTCATACACATAAAATAGAAATAAATAATACCCTTATAATGCTTCAAGTATAACGCTGCTCTGGTTTAAATGTATTATTGGAGTGAGTTCTTAAACATGTCTGTTCTATTTCCTTTCTGTCTTTCAG